TTGACTCATACATTAACTGCAACAAAGCAAACTCAAAAGTCAATTTTATCGACAATTAGCCTTGAAACCTTTCTGCTTTATTCTTCTCCTTCGATTTCAGCATCGAGTGCCGTTTTTTTTCACGAATTCACTAAGCTCTTAAAAAATGAGTTCTACAAGTCTATATTTGAAAATTATTTTAAATGGGCGACTTTTTATGCTATATTTTACGATGAACTCGAAATTTCGGAAGAGAAGTTATGAAGAGTAAAACAGTTAGATTTCGAGACTATCTTTTTAGTAAAATCAACTTTTGAGCTTGCGCCGCTACTGTTAGCTCATAAGTCGAATGAAAGTCTAACTACAAATTTCTGTACAACTTGATCAGAGCTGCAAAACTATCATTGTTAAATGTCGCCAGAAAAAAAGTCGATGGAAAACTAAGAGAGACTGTGTGGAAGCTCTCGCAACTCGATAGGGATATAAAAGATCTCTTCTCATCAACGGAGCGAGGGATATTTCTTTTCCAGTGATAGGTATATTTCTATGAAAAAATGATATAGCACATTGCTTTGATCACTGCAGCAGAAAAGCAAGTTTTAAAAGTTTGGCTCCTTTACGATGAGGTATTGCCAAATGGCGTCCGCTAGGAAAAGGCCTTGATAAACTCGTGAAAGAAGTGTATTATTATGGAATTTCAAAATGTTTGCAGGATTCGATTCAGGGTCCTAATCAATATGCCAATGCTTTTGGCTCAAGATTCGGCCAGTTTCAATGGTTCCGAGTAGAAAAATAAATTTTTGTCCACATATTGTTATATCGATATAGGATTCCTTAAGGATATGACAAATTTTCGTAACAGGAGCTTTGAAGAATTTTCTGAAGAGAACAGAAAAGAAGTGAACACATCAACAATTGCTCTTTAGACCTCCAGTGTGCATTCCGATCAGCTTAGTCAGCTAAAGTGTGTGTTGTTATTGTATGTGACTTCAAAGTTCAATATCTTGAGTTCCGACTTAAATGTAAACTACTACTCCAGTTTCAAACGAATAGGAATCATCCCGAAAAGACAGTGAACATATAATATCTTTCCGAATATTCTTTTCGTATTGACAAAATTTCACTATTTACATTTTGATTCTATTCGGTTTCAAAAATATATTTGTCACGTCTCTCATACGCAAGTGAAACCATAAGCATCTTTAACGGGTACTTTGCCACAGATCAGAAACAACTGTGCAATGAAAAAATATTGAAATATTGGGTTGATGCAAAAGTCTCCGCCGATTTTTTTAAAAATTTCTTAAAGCCCTCTAGCGCTACTATGCTTTCGTGATTTTCATACAGATGATACCGCTTGTGTAGTACTATAAAATGACATTGGTTAATGTCCCAGTTTATTTACATTCTTCATTAAAATATGTCAGAGATTCCTATTCATTTTCGACACTGCATTTTGTATGAGTTACAATTAGGGAACAATGCAAGTGCTGCTGCCCGCAATATATGTGCTGCACTTGGTGAAGGTGCTGTTGCTGATCGAACGTGTCGAGATTGGTTTAACAGGTTTCGTGAAGGTGACATGTCATTAGAAGATCGTCCGAGATCTGGATGTCCTCTCGAGTCTGATATTGAACGATTAAAAGTCCTGATCAAAGACAATCCACGATTAACCACCCATGAATTGTCAGCAATGCTCGGGTGCGACCAATCCACTATTGATCGCCATTTGCATAAAATGGGAAAAGTTAATAAACTTGGAACATGGGTTCCACATCAATTAACCTCGGACAACGTACAGCAAAGAATCACCATATGCAATTCTTTGTTGTCAAAACGCAACCGACATAGATTTCTTCAACAGATAGTTACTGGTGATGAAAAGTGGGTTCTATATGTTAACCATACACGCAAGCGCCAGTGGGTAAATCCTGAAGATTTGCCCGAACCAGAACCAAAAAACGACCTGCACTCGAAAAAGGTGATGCTCTCAATTTGATGGGATTTTCAAGGTATTATTTACTGGGAACTCCTTCCGTCTAACACTACAGTCGACTCGAAGCTGTACTGCAAACAACTCCAAAATCTGAAGGTTGCATTGCAAGCAAATCGTCCTGAAAAACGAAAAGTTCGACTACTTCATAACAATGCAAAACCTCATACGGCTAAGGTCACTCGTGAAAAGCTGGAAGAATTAGGCTGGGAGGTCCTACCTCATCCACCATATTCACCAGACTTGGCACCACCTGACTATCATTTGTTTCGATCGCTCCGCAATTATCTGGTCAAAAAACACTTCGATGATCAAGCCCACCTAAAATCGGACCTCGAAACTTATTTTTTGTCTTTGTCTGTGAAGTTCTTTGAAGATGATATTCTGGATTTGCCTAATAGATGGGAGTATGTAATACATAACAACGGTGTATATGTTGTTGATTGATGGCATTTTGTTTCAATAAAATCTCGAAACCAAGAAGAAGAAAAAAATCGGCGGAGACTTTTGCATCAACCCGATAACTAAATTACAATTAACACCTTATTTAATAACTTCTCAAAAATATCCTCGGACAAAAAAAATCAGAAAAAAACATCTTTTAAATCAAATACATACTACAGTGACATCAAAAATAATTTAGAAAAAATCTACTAAGATAAAGAGTCGTAAGATTCTAGCAGAATCACTGTATTTGCTTGTAACCAATTCTTGACGCTACGTTCCAGATCTTTGGTTGGTTCAGTCAGAATCATTCAAAGATTCACTCTTTTTACCTAAGAAAACGACTAAATCTTGAAGAAAGTGCGTAGCCAGAAAATTTCAAGATTCTGACAGAATTCAACAGAGGATTGATCAAGATCCCTAGCGGTTTCCGACTTTTTTAAACTGTGAGTCGTTTAGGAAACTAGATGCGACTCTGAGTGTGAATTTTGGCCCATCTTATGTTAACTAACATTAACAGTCATTGGTAGATCCTTTTGTTGGATTCTTGTTGATATTTATCTCTGATTTAACGACAATAGTTGGCTGTGTCCATTTCAAACCTTTCAGTAATTTTGAAGAAAGCGAATATACCTTCACAGCGCATTACAACATGCCATGAATATCTTAGATGCCAACCAACCTCCAGATTAAACAACTGTCGAAAGTAGTCGAGCAGAATTCATCTTACCTTTTCACTTGTCGACATTCTTTCAAGCTCTCCTTGCTAGTAATAATCTGAACGTTTAGGTCTCATACAAATAGTCTTAGATTTTAATTCAGTTCAATGTTTGTTTTTACATCGATTACTAATGATCCTTTCGCGCACTCAGCATTTTTCAGATGTTTTTAGTTACAAAACACAAAACTTTGTATTTGAAAAAAATTAATAGCTGCGCGAAGTATTATAGTGGTAACTCAAGCATTAGTAGGACAAAACTTCAGGCATTTAAATCAGTCTCAGTGAAGGAGTAGGTGCTTCGTCATTACATGCTTACCAGATGGGTTTTTTCGAGATAATAATCATTTGAATATAAAGACTAATCTTTTTCAAGATCTTTTTGAAAACTTTATCGAAAAAATAAATTAGAAAACCACTCTGAAAACTTTGTGCGCTAGTACATATTATATGGCTTCTTCTAGTACGAGGATATGTATGCATTGTGATGTCAGAAAGTCACATTAGATCTCTAACTGTTCTGTTTCTTGCTTTAGTCAAGAACCCCTTAAAATATCCTCAGATACTCCCCGTAACATTCCTAGGGATCGTTCAGGAAACAGCAACCTTCTCTGTGGTGAATATAGAAGTCGTCTTGATTTTCTTTTTAAATAATACTTAAAGTGGCAGTTGCATTCTTGTGGTTAACCTAAATATAAAATACATAACTAAATGTTACAAGTAGTTATCATTCTGCTTGCTCTTATTATTTGTCTAAATAAAAAAGAAGATTAATATTTTTAACACATGTTCACTTGAATATATTTTTAACAGTTTAAGCAATTTTCGTGAGTTTTGTATAATTTTATTCCATATTTTTTTGAAGCTTGATTTCATGTAAAATTTGTCTCTAAAAATCTGTGTGTAAACAGTCTTTTTGTAAAATATATGTTCAATTTTCTTTCACTTAAAGTTTTCAGAAGAGAATCAAAAGCAGTCAGCTAGAATGAGAATTTCATACTCTTTCTGAATATATATTACGAATCAGTTTTGAATTAAAGTTAATCCACTAAGAGCGAATCTTTGATAGGGACCAACAAGAACGTTTGTGTAAAAGATAAGTT